AATCTCTCCAAATTGTTTCCTTAACTCAGATCCTTTTTTCCTGCATGCTTGACACTTAAAAATTATCACTGTCTATTCATACCATATTTATTATAAAAGAAAAACAGAAGAAGTATACATCCTATATTTTAAAATGAGTTTACATGCAAGCACACACACACACAACACACTTTAACAAAATACACACATATCATGAAAGCTGTAATTTTGTTGTAAAAATAGGGAATGCTCATTGCTTTAACCAAGTGTTATAGGAACTAGAATTTTAAAATATCTAAACTAGTGACAGAATTTTAACATTTTTTATCTTCTCCTGATTTATGGTACAATTTTCAAGTTACCAATTGAGTCTACATAGTCAAAACACCCCTCTTCAAAATGTGGAATATGATTGATTTTTGTTTATTTAAAAAAGTAATTGCAGCTAGACATTCACTTATTATCACTTCCCCTAATTCTGAATAAATATGCATTTATCTGCTTGAGTTGGTGGATTTGACATTTGTGAAAAGAGAAGTCTTTGGAAGAAAATGGGTGAATCTGGGTTACATATGAGTTGCTGATAAGCTGAAAAATGCCAACAGAGGAAAAATTAGATAATGTCCTACTTACATAACTACTAAATAGACTCTGACATACAGGTACTTGTTGGCTTTTTCTTAAATTTTGTGTACAAAATAATATTATAAATATGTCTTTGGGGGTGTCTAGGGTTCACTGTAGCAGTTACAGAGTGTTTGCTGTGGTTGGCTCTCCATGGCATTGTACCCTAATCTAATCTTTCCTGGACTGGGGTGTATGTAGAACACTCTATGCCTAAGGCAGATGTACTGGGAATCATTCTTTTTCTCAGAACACCTTAGAAATAAGAACATAGTCCTAGGACCAAAGTGGCATGGGAGCTAGCTGTCAGAGTGCCTTGTCTAATAACTAAAAAAAATGTGTTTTAGTTATATCTTAAGCAAAATGCGGATAACACCATCACTACTACTGGGTTATATGAACATTTCGTAAATAAGGCACTAAAATTCTGAGAAAAGAATAAATCTATGGGGCTGGGGCTGTAGCTCAGTCATACAGTGCTTGGCTAGCTTCTGTGAAACACTGGGCTCGATCCTCAGCACCTCATAAAAATAAATAAATAATTAAGAGGTATTGCATCTATCTACAACTAATAATATTTTTTTAAAAGGTCATGGCTTTACAAAAATAATAATGAATCCACGGTGAGGCAAAAGAAAGGGAAAAAACTAGCATTCAATGGCTGCCTCTCAAGTTTTAACATTGGAAGACTAAGTGATTAACATGCCTTTTCCCATGTAACATCTCATCTAGAATTTGAGGTGTCATTACCTCATTTTATTACTCACAAAATAAGGTTCAGCAAAGCTCAGGAAGGTACCCATAGCCATACTACTGAGTATCAGTGATTGGGAGTAGATGTCCTTGCTTGATCACTGCTGTGCTCTGGTAAACTGAGTTCTTCTTCCACAAAGATTGCAGCGTTGAAATTCTTTATGATCTGGGGTAAATAATCTCTATTTCCCAAGAGTGCCAAATATTTGTGACTCAAATCTAAATAATTTTTACATTATATTTACTGTGTCTCTCCATACACAGAAATGCCAAACTTGCCCTCCAGTCTGAGAAATATGATTTGTCTGCATCATCTAGATGCCAAAGGTATTTAGATTAAGGTACAAAAAGTGACCTAATTTCCTAAATCACATTTTCTTGCCCCCCCCCCCCCATCTGAGCTATATTTCAACAACAATTATAAAGGAAGGGATATCCCTCTGGATATACTAACACAGTTCATTGAACAAGATGGTGTGTATAATACAGGAAAATTAGAAAAGTGGGACTAATTGTCTGAATATAATGGAATACTCCAGATGTATATAAATATAGGTGCTAAACTGCAAACTTCACATTGTTGCTGCAGATTGGTAATGGTGTTTCACGATATGTTAACACTAAGAAATATTTTCAGTTCATTTATCTGAGCCATGCTAATATGTTTTAAAAGATCAGTTTATTCTACATTTCAACTGAAATTTATTTCAAATTTCATTATTCCTAATCACTTTTCTTCTTTACCCCAAATTATTTTGTAAATGATAAAAAGCTCTACTGCACAACTGGAAATTCTCTTGCTATATTTTTTCTTATTTGATTCATATTTAATTGGAGAAAGTAAAAACATTTTTCCATTGAATAGAATCAGCACCACTTCTTCAATTAGGTCAGGGCTTCCTGCCATTTAAAATTGACAGAAAAAGCAAAATGTACCAGATGCAACACTGGAGATAGAGTTATTAAGGCCTCTCAGGATCTCTGTTCCTAGATTTGACCTCAAATTCCTGCTGTCAGGAACTAATAACTAGTAGGAGGGACTTGGTCACTGGCTTGATAGAATGAAGGGGAAATAGCAGAAACATCTGAAATACAAATGTAAGCCTACACATATGTTGCAGATGGACACACTAAAATATCAAAGGAAAGATTCTTACTATTAATAAATAATAAAAAATGCCAGAGACAGATTTTATGTGACTTATACAAAAATGGTCAAGCATGAATATATAATGAATAAAAAAGTTTTAATATAAACTCATAGCCTTAGACGGGGGAAACAGAGTGATCTAAAAGTGTGGTTAAGAGAATAAGCTTTGAACTCAGAAGATCTGGATTTGCATTCTAGCATGGATACTCACTAGTTGTGTTAAATTGGCAAGTCTTTTTGATCTCTCTAATCCATAATTTATTGAATATTTTGTAAAATGGGAATATTAAGACTATTTCTCACATAGACTTTTTCTTGAGAATTAAATTGAATGATTTATGCAAAGTGGTTAGTACATTATTTGAAACCACATAGCTTTTAGTGAATATTAGCCATCATGTTTATTATTACTTCAGTAACTTATATCATCAAGAGCACACACTTTGAAGACATATATTCTAAGTATAAGAGAAAAACTAAATGTTAGCAAAATGTTATCCAAAAAAGTCAAAATAACAAGACAATATAAAGCCATTTGTTTTTTAATTAAATATTTGTATTTTATTTATTAAAAATATGTATTCCCCAAAGCAAATGCATATAAAGATGATATCCATGGGAAGTCATCTAATAAATCCCACATTGTCAGTATTGTATTTTAAAGGGCTTTTCTATTTCCATTTAAATGCTGTATTTCATAAATATTTGTTTTATGGGTATTAACATAAATTTTATCTCACTGCATAGTCACTTAATATTTTTAGTCTGAACCAGATGTTATTGGCATTGTTCTTAGAGACTATAGTTCAAATGATAAAGTTCCAGGGACTGAGTTAAAAAAAATAATAATAATCAGTAGAATGATTTGGTTGTGTGGCAGTAGATAGTGGGTATAAAGTTGTTCTCAATTTGTAGAGGAAGGTATAAGGAGCTGTAAGAGGAAGGTATGAGGAGTTGTAAGGATTTGGTAAGAAGAAGAAAAGAATAAAATAACACATTTTATGAATACTGATTTTAAAAAAACACAAAAAACTATGAAATTTTATTATAATATGTGGGAAGTTTAAAAAAAATAATGTTTTCTAATGTTTACCCCAGGGTTCCAAGACCTCATTAAAGTCAGTTCTGTTCTTGAAATTGCTCAATAAACAAGTAAATTAATTAATGGTTAAGTAAATAAACAAAAAATGGGTAATGCCACAAAGGGAAGTTGTGATGTTCCTTCAATCTATATCTTTAAGGAAACTTTGGAATTTGTCATGTCATTCATTGACAACTAACTACTGCTTACAGAAAGGATCATCCTAAGATCTGCAAACCTCTCTTCCAAAAATTTATCTCTAAAACCATTTGCTAGTAACACTTCACCTCAAAACTCAGAAGGTACCTAAGCCCCCCTCTGAACTTGCTCTTCAATTTTGTGTCCCTTATCACCTTTCAATCACCTTACTTAAGTTTATTCCTGTAAGTTGATCATTGCAGCACAGGGTCAAGGAGCACTAGTAGAATCAAAACCCCAAAAGTGATATGGACTGTTTAAGTATTTTCTTAGCCATACTCAGCCCCATCTCAAAAGTCTCTTCTGCTAGAAGCGTATTCAGGGAAAGTGGCCCGTGAGCTTTCCAAAGGCTTGGACCTTTCCTCCAGATGTATAACACAGGGACTTCCCATCTTTTCAGCACCGCCTACCGAATCTGGACGAAAGTGCTGAAAGGACAGCTCCTGGTGGTATGGGTCTTTTCAAGTAAGCACTCCCAGGAAGACAGCACCCATCCACTCTGCTAAAAACAGCCATTCACAAAACCCGAACCACAATCATTCCTGATTCCTTGAAAATTTAGTTAGGCTGTTGAAGCACACACCCCTTCCCTGAGTGTATAATTATTCGTGGGTGGAGAGCTACCAGGGAGTGTAATAGAATAGGACAGGGTGTGTGGGGGTGGGGTGGGGTGGGGAGGGGAAGTGAGTTTTGTTCTGACTTCTAAAAAATCCCTCCATCCTTTTCCCATTTTCCCATTCCAAGAATGATGGAGTTCAAGGCAAAAAAAAAAAAAAAAATGATTCCAGAAATAGAGATATGCCTCTCAAACCTAGAAATGATCAGAATGATGTGTTTAAAGTTAAATATTGCTTCTTCAGGGAACCCAACACAATTCAGAGTTAAAGACGCCTGTGTTTTCTTCGTGATCACGTACACAAGCAGTTGCCTACAGGAAAATAAAATTAAAAAAAACAAAACCGGGTTCAGGAGCGTGTTCCTGCTGTCCTCTAAGCTACCCATGAAGGTGGGCTGGAAAGCGCTCCAAACCTGCCAAAGTGCGAAGGACTCTCACTCCAGTGGCCAATTCCCTACCGGCCAGAACTCTTCCCTACCGTCACTCTCCAATCATGACTCTGCAAGACACAGAGACTTAGACATACGTGTGGGAGTGTGTGTGAGCCAGAGAGGCGAGAGGACCGTGCGCTCTCCACACGTGTAACCCTGCGTCTCCCTGTTTCATGGCTTGCTTTCATTCATATGTATGCAGTGATTAAATGTTTGATCTAAAGTGGAACAGTTATACCGATCAGTTGTATTTCTAATGGGCACACCTTAAAATAGGGTGTTCGTCAATTGCAAGTGTGAAAAGATCCGAAGTGCTTTCCCCATGTCTCCAAACCTCTCTACCCTTCCCTTCCCCATTTCCATGGCCCCCAAAAGGAATGCATGCAGCAGATTGTGGAAGGATTTGAGTCTGCAGCTATAGAGAAGGGGATTAGGGCCAGAGCGGTGCAAGTTAAATTGTGCTGCATATAAAAAATGGGCGGATTGGTCTCCAGATCCAGAGGCTGGTACCACCTTCCTTTCTAAAATAAAATCTCTCTGGCATGAAGTCACCGCCTATTTCACATCCGGTTTGCCCTGGGACGTATTACTACTGTCTTGGTAAAGAGAAATCTTTTGTTGTATAGCTGCAGATTGGATATTGGGAAGCAAATTTGGGTGTGAAATCTTCAGCTCTGGAGCACGCAGAGTCCATGATGGCTCAGACCGAGTGAGTGAGAGGCAGCGAGCGAGGACGCCCCTCCGCTCGCGGCGCGACTGACTCGCAGACTCGCGCCGGCTCCGGCTCTCCACGATTTTCTCTCGCAGACTTTTCCCCCGGTCTTGAGCGATCCGGTGCCCAGAGGGGGCCCGAGGTAAGTGCGCCTTCGGACCGCGACCTACAGCGCTTTGAACATGGCTTTTCCTAGCCTGGGAGACAGAAATGCTATAGTGGTGGGAAAACAAGAAAGCAAGAGGGAGCCGGACAGGAGCCTGAGCCTGTAGCAGGTAGAAGCAACGAATGTTTTTCTTCAGGGCGAAAACTGCAGCGATCTAGGAGCTTTATTTTCTCCCTCTCTTCTTTTCTCTTTTGCTTTCTTAGGCAGATTTGAATTTATTCCGCGGGGTGGGTGGTGACATGTTGTTTTGGTCTTTTTTTTTTTTTTTTTTCTCCTCCCTGCCAGGGGGAGCTGGGGTGAGTTTGGGAGGGGCGTTGGGGGGCAAGGTCTAAAGTTAAGACGCTGGGACAGAAATCCTCTATCCCTCTTCCATCTCAGGAAGGCACTCTTAATTCTGGATGAAAAATTGCCTCTTTTCTCCTTTCTAGTGGACGCTGCTAAAATGCCCTCTGGTGTAGGGGTCTCTCCCATTCTGAACATGAAAAACTCAACTTGTTATTTGAAATGGGTGGCAGGGGATATTAAGGGTGTTTGGAGTGTCTGTCTGGAAGGGGAAGGTTGGAGGTGGAAAGGGGTAAGGAGGCAGTTTAGCGTTTCTTTTAAACTATTATGTTTGTATTTGCAGGAAACTTTCTTACCCAACAACTGAAGCGTTGTTTTTCTGTTTTAAAAAATACCAGAGGAAAGCAAAAAGCTATGGTGTCTTGCCTTGGGGTTTTGTTTTGTTTTTGTGTTTATTCCTTCAGGATTTCCCCCTTTTTATAAAGATCAAAGAAAATTAATAGGGCTAAGAGAAGTTGTTTTTCCCTTCCTAACAAATGCTGAAGATTAATGAAAGGGTGAATAATAATTGTGCCATTTAGATGCAATATTTTAACATAATAATGTTTATACAAGATTTCTTGTCATATTCTACTCATCTGTGTCAAAACCAGGCACTAAATTAAGTAAAAGCTATGATGTGGCTCACAGTTCTTATCTCTACACCATTTCACTCCAAACACATTAATTATATTTCACTGCTTACATGCCTGTTTGTAATGGTTTTTACTGATTTAAATTATCCCCAAGAGTGTGGAAAGCATTTTGTAGCTATAATTAAAGGTATACTACATTAAACTATAGACTGGCTAATGAAAAAAATATGCTTTAAAATACTTGCAATTCATTAATCACCGGATCCTACTGAAGAGTAGAGATGGAGGGAAGTGCTAACATACTTCTAACATTTCTCATATTATTGCTGGAATTAATGACAGTTCACTGAAATAAAAATGTGACTATCTGCTCCTTAACCAGGTAGGGCACTGAATTTCTGAAATGCACTCCATAAATAGGTTATGTATATTTTTAATTCTGTAAGCCTTCCGCACTCCTCCATTCCTCCAGCATCCCACTACCAGGTCTAAATTCAACAATCAATAGTGATGGATTGCACTTTACCTAACAGGGAAAAAAGATCCCCCTTTTCATGCAAGGCAAAGCACTCCAGCTTCCATCTGTTTGGAATGAAACATTTTTCAGCAGCAACCTGGCAGAATTGGAAAGGGATTAAAAGATATGTGTGGGCATGTTTGTGTGCATTTGTGTGTGTGTGGTTGGTATGTGAGAGAGATCAGTACATGGCTTGACTATAAAGTGTGTCCTTTAGCTTCACAGAAACATTTGTGAGCTTATTTAACAAGGCAATCACAGACACAGAATAGAAGCACGACTTTGGCATTCAACAGTGTGTTTCCAATGGGCTTTATAAAGAGATAAATACAGTTGCTTCTAAAATCAAGGTACATCTAGAATTCAGAGATGAATTCAGTCAATGGAGCAGGTTAACCATCCACATTCCACCCCAAACATTTTTCTCCCTATTAATAATAGAAGCTTAAAATTTTCAATGTGGAGTTCAGTCATGGGGACTCAAATCAGAAAGGTCAAAATTTTCTCATGCAAAACAACAAGAAGAGAATAAATCAAATTTTAATAGAAATTTAAAAAGCCCAGGGAAAACAACTCACAGTTTTTATATTGAGCAATATTGTCACCTGAAGCATTTCAACTTGTATTCTTTTACAGGAGAAATTAAGGTACTGATAGATTTCTGAATGGAGAAATGGAAAGAAAATTGGAGAATGGATGGTCCAGGTTTCCATTGCTTCCAATGAGGTGTCATGTTCCAGTGAGGTCATTTCCTGACTTCAAAGCATTCATCTGAACTGCCTCAGTCAGCCCTAGTGGTTATAACCTGATGTTTCTTGCAAGACACACTGATCTCTACTTATTCTACTTTTCAGCTGCTCAAGTCCGCGATGAAGAGAAGTCCAGGTCTCTCTGACTATCTTTGGGCCTGGACCCTCCTTCTGAGCACGTTGACTGGAAGAAGGTGGGGACACTTTATTTTAAATCTGCATGAGAATTTCTGTAACTTTTCATTTATTCCATTAGGGGGAAGACAATTGTCCATGGATGAATTCATGACTAAGGGAATTAAAAAAAAAAAAAAAAACAAACTTAAGTGCAATAAAATTCCAGCTAAGACTAAAGAGTAGTAAGGAAAAATAAACATCTTATTTGCATGTCAGTTAGAATACACTTACTAAGACTTTGTTAAGAAATGTATTAATTTAACATTTGAGTCCTGGATTGAACTTTTCACTATTCGGTTGTAACTGAAAAAAAACATGCGGTTTCCTAATTCATAGAAAAAGTTCCCCCAATTAATGTCTGCATACCATGTACTCTGATTTTCCAAAAAGAAAAATTTTAGCCAATTTAAGGATCATAGGATAATTTGTGAATATATAGAAGTGGAAAGTTTAACATAATATTTTTAATTTGAAAATCATGCCTCTATGAATACATGTGCATACTTTGTTTCAAAACTATATTTATATAACCAATAAAGGTGGAATATACTAAATAAATATTTACAAACATTACGTAAAATCAAACTTATCTAATTAAGCATAACTATTTTATATAAAAGTTAAAGGAAATATTAATGTTTAAGCATATTCAAAATATGATCAATGATGCAATCAAGACTATAAGATATTATAGTAAAATTATATGACCAAATACTTGAGAGTGATTTTTTGTTTGCTTGAATATTTCTTGTGTACTTGATTCCTGTAGCCCATAAGAACTTATTAAACTAGATCTAAAAACCTGAGTTTCTTCAAATGTAACGGAAAGTGAATCTTTAGTAGTGAAAGAGAGAAATAGAGTATCCTGGAAAGATCTGTGAATTTGGAGGCATGTTTTCTAATTGAGAAGTTGTCTATTATTATTTTTTTGGCATTTCGTATAGTATATATGACTACCAGATGAGCAAGACATACATTACTGTCAGATACTCTTAATTTGAGAAGTTAAATGATCTTCACTGCTTTTGAAAAATTATATGAAGTGTTACTATTGTAATGACCTGTAGATGGAGTTAGTGCACAGTGTTTTATTCTATAGTGCTTCATATGGAATAAAAATCAGGTACTGTAACTGACATTTCTCCTCAAAATATACATTCTGTTTAGGAAACACAGTGGTGGCATGGATAATTTATTACCAGATAAATAATTTTGATATTTTTTCTAAGGTTTTACTTTGACAATTGCAGTTTGTCATAGTCAATTAGAAGCAAAGATGAAGTGCCTGATTAGAAAAAAAATCACACAAAAGAGAGATTTCTATCCTAAAAGGGACAGGGGAGCTAATATTCTTGGGACAAGGGGAGATCTCCTTTGGTATTTGCACTTCAATGCAAGAAATTTGTGAAAACACTTATAAGACAAAACCAGAGAGAAAAACATTTCCTGAATTGTATATGAGCTGTAAAAACTTAGGGAATGCAGGTAAAGGTAATAGACAGCTCTTATTCTAAGGTTTGTGCAAACAACTTAACTGCACTCTGTGTTGTCATCCCATCTCACTGTTTCCTCCTTGCTATTTTATTACTTTCTTCTTGAGAGCTGTCTATCAGGAGTTCATAACAGCTTAAGGTGTGCTTACATTTCTTTTCCATCTTTATCAAGATGACCTTCCAATACCCTTGAAAGATGCAAGCATAGCAGTCAGTTTTGTGACAATGAGTTTTTGTAAATAATTGCATTCAGAAAACTATTTCTTGCCATCTGTCAATGAGACATACTGGAAGATACAGAACTCATTGAAAATTTGATTTAAAAAAAGATGTTTAATTTTACTGAAAAAGAGTAAGCCCTCAATCTGTGTGATATTAATGTTGAATTTAGCAGAATAAAAAATTGTTTCATGAGGACACACTTAACATATTTAATATCCTGGATAACTTTTCATTTTTAATAACTTTATTAAAATAAAACTTTCAGAAAAAAAGGCCTTTGCATTTGACTAATACAAAATCAATTACCTGCAAAACAGTGTTTTCAAAATGATACTTTGTATTTCTTGCTACTGTCAAATAAATTCTTCTTTAGAATGTTAATACTTATTAGTAATAAGAACACACAAGAGTGAAATAAAAAGTGTATTAAGTAGGAAATATGAAAGACAGATATGTAGAAGTTCCTTAGTTTATACCCTATATTCATGTATTTTTTTACTCAAGGTCAGAGCTATCATTGAAATTTATCAGTGAGTGTGATCCATCCTAAGATAGAAAATGCTTCTCTCAAAGGATTTTGGAAATGTCATGCTAATCATTACATAAAATATGATTCAAGGAGCATAGACAGTAATGCAGTTGATAAAAGAAACAGTATATGAATTGTGGTCAAGACGTGGTTGAAAATCAAAGACTGATAATGAGATGAGATACAAGCTACATCCTCAAACAGTACAATTTAAGTAGAAATAATTATTTCTATACAAAAACATGGAGATAAAGTTTTGCTTAAAAGTTGAACAAAGCTGGGTTCTAGAATGAGCTTTGTTTACAAATTGCTGTCTTCTTAAACACTAAAGCTTTGCTACAGTTTATAAACCATAAATTAAGACTATTGAACTTTCTCTTTTTCAAGGACTCTTTCATGTGTAAGGCCAGCAATGACAAAAAATTCAATTAGGTAACTGATCAGATAATTTTTTTTTAAATTGGAGCATAAATCTTAAGATGAATGAAATTTTGAACATTAGTTAAAATATAATTAATGTAAACATATTTTTATCTTCTTCTCATCTAAATATCTTAAAAGAATATGAAAAAAAAATCAAAACAGATCCTTAGGATCTGGAAGAAAAAATGATAGGTAAAACTTAGGGTTTTGCTACATGTTAAATTAAAAACAAAACCATTTTTATAAATATCTTTTACTGCCTGGCTCTCTTGCTCTCTTTCTCACGCACACACACATTTTAATTTGAGAAGTTTCCCAGCTTTTTTCTAATATGTGTGAATATTTTTGCTTGCTCAGAGAAGATACACATTATGACATAATATTATGCTGAGAATTCAGAAAGTAAGGAGGTAGTATTCATTTCCTCTATTCTCCCTTCCATATTTAGAAAAAAAAAAAATCAGGGCTGGGAATGTAGCTCAGTGGTAGAGTGCTTGCCTAGTATGCATGAAGCACTTGGTTCAATCCCCAGTTCTGGAAAAAAAAAAAAATAGCAGGAGGAATTTTCAAAGATTCAGTAGAAAGAAAAGTAGGAAAACCTAGGAAAATCTTGATCAGAAAGAAGTTCCAGTGGAAACATGTATCTAACTCAGACACTGCTTATCTTTATGCTACTTCCAGCTTCGGACAGCCCTCGCTACAAGATGAACTTAAAGACAACACCACTGTCTTCACTAGGATTTTGGACCGACTCTTAGATGGCTATGACAATCGCCTGAGACCAGGCTTGGGAGGTGGGTTGTGTTACTGTATTTTTTTATTTTAAAGAATAATATGAAAATCTTTTTAATGATAGCCTTGTTTTCCCTTTAAGTGTTAAAATAATGAGAATGGTACCATGTAGTTTAATGATTAATCCTATTTTAATAGATTGCTCAGTGTTAATTCAATTCCCTATGATAGTTGTGTCCACCTAACTTTATGGATCAAAAGATGCAAAGTTCTCATAATGATATGAAAGAGATATTACATTTATTTGGCAAACACAATGTTTTCTTATAATTTGATTATACAGGGAAAGCAATGGGAAGGACACTGTCCCTTCCAGTTTAAAGACTACATCAGCCTCACCTGTTTTTGCTAAGTCTGCATTGAATTCATACAGGATACACTGAATCTGTTGCCTTAAACGTTTATATATATTGATCCACTGTGTTATGCTAGATTACCATCATCTCTAGGATCAAAGGTGAATGAGATAAATGGTAGTGTTTTTTTAACCATACATTTGAACTTACAACCTAATTTTCTGTAGTGATTTTTTTTTTTTTTTGGAATATCAATTCATTGGTAATACTGAAGAATTTATGCTAAGGAAGAAAGTAGAACTTATTACTATACATAAATATGTATAACAATAAGAATTAATTGTTCCAAAAATTATACATCTATTTGAATAAAATTGAATAAAATAATCAAACTATTATACTTGGTTAAACAAAAATTACTGAAACCAAGTCAGAATATTGTAAGAGTAAAACAAGTAAAGCAAGAATATTAATTATCTTGTTTGAAGTCACAGAGGACAACAATATTAGAATCTTTGACTCCCAGCTTTAGCTGATATGGCACCTTTTCCAAAGCACCTGTAGAAACTAATAGTAATATTTAAATAGTAACAAAATGGCAATAATAACAAAGACACCTCTTCTGCATTTAGACAGCACAGATAAACAGTGAGTAAGAAGCTTAAGACTCAAGCACTGATTTTACAACCAAATAGAGTAGCATGGATTTAGAATCATTTAAAAAATGTTTTGTGTAGTGTAATCACAGAGATGTGCATCATGGGTCTATTTTCAAGCAGCTAAATGTCATTACTGTCTTAGAGGTTTAAGAGAAACTGCTTTTTAAAACTCACAACTAAAATGTATGTCAAAGGTCTTACCAGGTGTCCATTCTTATCTATTTCAAATTTCATATGTAGGACATGCTACACAAATTTCATCAGACTTCTTCTACCCTTAGTTTTCATTCAGTTGAAAAAAAAAAAAAAAAAACATCTTAGGGGCTGGGGTTGTGGTTCAGTGGTAGAGTGCTCATCTCCCATGAGTAAGGCACTGGGTTCTATCCTCAGCACCACATAAAAATAAATAAAATAAAGGTATTGTGCCCATCTACAACTAAGAAAAATATTTTTTAAAAAATCCTAAAGTTGCTAGACTCAGGTGAAGGTGCCTGTAGTCTCTGCTGATCAGTAGGGTCCCTTGAGCTGAGGGACCTCAGTAGGCTGAGGCAGTAGGGTCCCTTGAGCCCAGTAATTTGAGGCCAGATTGTGGAATATGAGACCCTGTCTCCAAAAAGAAAAACAAACTGGACCTGGGGTATCACAAAATGAGAGAGCATGATTGTGTACATATGTTGATATAATGTCTATGAATACATAACATCAGCATTGGCTCCAAGGAAATTTCTCTTGATGCATAAAATCTGAAGTAAATTATAAAGACTGCATATAGAGGAGGTATATACAGAACTAAGGAATGGGTTACTGATGTAAGTTTTTAAAAAGTAAGACTTATGAAAGTTCATAAAAATGTGTATAATTCCTTCACTGAATCTCGTTCCTGATGCATATCACTCCCTACAAAATGAGCAGAATTTTATAACATTTATAAAGACTTTCCTTTCATCCTACTTCAGGAAATTCTGTTTAATATTTTAATGTGTGCACATGAATATCCTCTGAAAGATTTGTATGTAGTTTTCAGTTTGTTGGACAATTTTATGTTTATACAATCACCTTCTTCAAGGATCAGCTGAATATTTGTATGATAGTTCTAAATATAAATAACAAGCCATGATTGTTAATATTTATTTAACTGTATGTAACTCTTTAATAACTGTATGCATTAATTCAGTATTCAAACATAGTCTGAGCAGGAACCATTTCCTTATATGTATACCTAGACCATGGAGAACCATGGATTTGTGGAGTTGTAAACCAGGCTAAGCATAGATTGAAAAGCTAATTTTCAGGACTTGCAACACTAGGAGATTTGCTTCCAGAAATGACTACATTAATTCATCTTTTAACATTACTGTTTTGGAATATATTTTTATTTCCTTAGATTGCCATGCATTTCTGTCAATTTAAGTGTGACATGGATTCTGATAAATTCCTGTTGCAAAAATAATCTCCTTCCTTTTACTTTTTGATGTGAGTCATTGGCTTTCAGACAAAAAACAAAACAAACAAACAAACAAAAAACCCAAACTATTATATACTTGAATAATTATCATTAGTTACTAAGAGGGTAAAAGATTCCTTTCAGTTGATTCATGATCACAGCTAGGACAGCCTCATCTTGCCGTCTGCTTTCTTTATTATGACAAAAGTCTGATTTTTATAAAAATAACAAAACTCTTCAAAAAGCATGGATATTTTGTTCAGAAAATATGATAACCCAAGACTCCAGAATATTATAAGAAATTGTTGTATGTGCACATTCATCATGACTCGTTTTCTAGAAACACAATGCATCAGAAGTGTAGCATTGCTCCTTAGGGATGTGCGCTGTGGGTACAAACCAGGACCTAAGTACGTAAAGGGGTGGATTCAGATAATAGAAACCAGCTGGCAGATATTGCAACAGTATTGGAAAAGGCTGTTTTTTTCAGTGTCAAGAGACAGCCTATGAAGGTGAAAATATAAGGATAACATAAAAAGAGATATCCTGGAAAGTTTTTTTTTTTTTTTTTTGTAATTTTTGTTTCAGTTGTAGATGGACACAGTACCTTCACTTTATTTATTTTAACATGATGCTGAGGATCAAACTCAGTGCCTCACGTGTGTGAGGCAAGTGCTCTACCACGGCTCCACAACCCCAGTGCAGGATTTCTTTTCTTTTTTCTTTCTTTCTTTTTTTTAAGGTGGGAGAGTTAAAACAGATTAGATTAGATTATGTGGAATTTTAAATTTAATATACTAGAAAAATCTAAAGAGAAAACTCAACCAGGTTTATATTTTAAGCACAAAGTAAATGAAGAAAATTTTAAATAAACTCTAATTAAAATCATCAGTAGCCAGAAAACACAAATTGGGATTGTGTATCACTGTTTAATTCACTCTCATTTATTATATTCTTCTTTGGTGACACAATATGAAGGGCTGCTTTCTCTTTGCAACGAGGAACTGAAAACTATTTTTGAAAAATCTTGTCTAAAACAAGGTCAGCTTGTAGAAGAATGATATAGCTGGGTAGAAGTCAGAAAAATGGGAAGATAAAAAAGTAAAAGTTCAGGAAAAAAGGAGAGAAACAAAAAGATAGAAGTAAGGATTCTGAATAAGGCAAATTGAGAGGGGTTGAGGTCTTGGAGAGAAACAGATGAAACTATAAAGCAGAGGAATCCATTAGGATGGATAGACACAAGGGCACAGGGATCATCAAGACTTCTCTTTTTACTTTCAATCATGACCAAACCAAAATTTCTCTGAGTGAACTCATTGTCCCAAGGTTCCTCCTATTACTTGTGCTTATAATAAATAGAGGAAGCCTGTATATGCTCTAGCTTCATGAAAAATTAAATAATACTTCTGCTGAACTGCACACATCTAGGTGAATTTATTTCACCTTCATATAGGTTCCTTCCACACTTTGGGAATAGGAAAAGGTAATCATAAACACACCCAAAGCTTAATCCTGAAGAAACACTGCAGGTTGTCAAAGACAAATAAGACCCTTCCAATGACGTCCTTTCCTTCTTCTTTATCCTTCTGTATGTACCACCTATAGTTTAAGATGTGCCAGAATCCTGTGTGAGCCAGGGTGAGCGCAGTCATCATCCAGGTCATGTCACAAAGCTAAGAGTTCCCCTTCCTCCTGTGCATGAGCTCAGTCTCCCTCATCTAGCTCTCAAAAGACATGTTCTTCTATAACCAAATTCATTTCACTTCTCTAAAAACAAATTAGGAAAAAATCATCCAGTTTTAGGTGGAACAAAAATAGGATGGACTTGTAGGGATTGCAGAAGAACTTTCCCCCGACTCCATCCCTGTTTATGGTAGTTCCTGGAAAAACTGTCATTACTGCTAAATTCAATTTTAAATCTGATTTTAGTAAATGATGTATAGAACAATGGATGCCTTTCAAAGTTGTTATCATCAAACCACGTCGATGAAGATGGCCAGGGAAAGAGAGATGAATGTGTAAAAGTACCCAGAGGGATGGGTGGCCAAGTGGATAAGGAAGTGAATAGGATTGTAAGTAGAGAATGGAACTTACCCTACTGTACACTTCATAATATTTACAGTTTTCTTTTTTTGTGTGCTGTAAATGTTATAGATTTGACTGTTTTGATTGTTTTTGTTTTAGATTTTGCTTAAGCAAATCTAAACAAATAATTGGGAGAAGGCTCTAGAGCAATTGAAATCTAAGCAGTTAATTGAAAGTGTAAGAAGAACATTTGCAGCTGAAATTTCCTCTCAAAGATTTTAGCACTAAAATATTATTTAAAAAATAATCTATGCCTCCAAACAGACATTCTCTTTATAATTTACCTTATCTTGGATTATTCATACTCTTATAAAACCTTTTGGCCTAATCTTTAGCCCAATTATTGGAAGATACCTCCATTTTAAACAACAAGATCCCACAACTCCTAAAATGAGTCAAAGCAGTTGAAAATTCTCTGCAGCTGGCAAATGACTTTTTATCTTTTTTTCTTTTTAGGTAATTAGTCTTGACCTTGGGTTGTGTTTCTTTATTTTAAAAAAGGTTAAAAAAATGGAAAG